AATGATTTCAAGCACTTATAGCTTTTATCGTGTTCACTTAACACCTTTCGATTGCTCTATACAAACAAAACATTTATATGATCTGCAGCAATAAAGTAGAGCACAATGCTTGGAATACATTGGAAGATAGGTCAGGATCTAGGAACTGGATCCATTGATGCCTGTTGAGTATTTTCAGTGCCAACGTGGAAGATGTGGTCTTTCTAGTAAACTGACACATTTGTCAGAAAAGCCCGCAGTCTACAATTAGAACTGTGTTCGATTAGGCCTCATCAATAAGACGAGCTTTTTACGTTATTATGCTTAAATTTAAGAGTGGTGTACAGAAAAGCACATTTAAAACAATGTTTTATCATCGTGTAAATTATCAACGACAAAAAGGAAGTGAAACGCAACAAAACCATTGATGAATGGGCACTGTATCGATGAACACTTTCCTCTTATTTCATTTTGCTCTTGTGAAAATTTATCATTTCATTCATCCGTTAGACACTTAAGGCTAGCTATTGACAAGCAAAGAAACCATGTTTACACAACACATTCGGCATGATGTTTGTTGATGATGCAACTGATTTTTCGACACTTTCTAATGGACCATGTAGACAACATTCAAATAATAAATATTATTCTAACATAATCAACAACACTTATTGACTGCTGCATCGCACTAGCATATATTTGCAATCACTTCTAGTTGTTACTTTTCATCAATAGACATTAACCATTCCGGTTAGACGATTCGCTATGCGAACACGCAACAACAACAATAGTAGCACAACTTTTTCCAAAAAAAAATTTCAATGATGACAATATTATCAAAGTATTGAATAAGAATTTGAAAACGAAGACGATAAAACGAAGAAACACCGAGCGATTATAGGATTACTACGTTGTGTTACGTGGGTGTTCATGCGATCAGACATCAACAATACGTGATCATCCGACTTAGTTATCAGTTCAACACAGGATGCATGAATGAATCTTAATAGAGAATGTCTGTCTCCTGGTTGCAAGTAATTTTCAGCTTAAAATAAACTAAAAACGCAACAAACAACCGCATGAAAATGGCTTCCGTCAGAGCTTTAGCAACAAAGCGATTACGTTGCAGATGCTCTTTGCTTCATTCGTATCAGCAGTTTGATGCTTTTACTATCTGTCATTTGATTCCTTCTATGAATCATAAATCAAAAATGCTTAATCGTTCGCAAAAAAATGCCCAATCAGACTCACAAATAAGTGAAACTAAAAAGATACAAGCAAACATTTGTGAAACTTTCGTTTGCTCTAATTTTTCAATTCTCAAAATACCCAATGTCCCAAAAAGCCAATAAATCCTCAGGAAAATCAACAATGAAAAACAGCAATAATAGAGAAAGATATATGGAGAGGCAATAATGCAGTGGATTTATTGAAAGCACAATACACACACATCAATCACTTAAACTATCGGTTTGGTTAAGCGTTATGAATGGTGGTGATACACTTCCTCGAATCGCGCAGTAAACAAAGTTGAAAATCGTTTTGTTACGTATGATCGATCGACACGGCGATCAATTGGATGTATTCATCAACTTTCAAAATGAAACTTGACTGACATATTTGACATAATCGATAAAAACTGATTGGCAGTGCTGACAGCAGTTGGAATTCAACATAATGAGCAGAACACGTCTTTTTACGAGGCCATTCGATTGTGCATGTGAACGAACGCCGAAGAAGAATTGCGCAAAGAAATTCTACACTCCAAGCATGTGCGTTTTTAACGGAATTGCAAACGCCCTGCCCTTTTCGATTCGTTCAGAATGTTTTCTCAGTAATTCTATCGAGTGTTGGACTAATCTTCTATCGATGAGTATATTTTGCGCGACTGTCTAACGATTAATCAAAAAAAATTAACTGTTCAAAAACAACATCAAAAAGCTGCATATGTACACAGCAAAATGACACACACGAAGTGGAACTGAACTGTCTGTCCTGAACAATGTTCATCCATATGAATAATCATTGGGAAATTCATGATTTCGATATTGAACTGATGAAGATGCACTTTTTCGATGTTACTCATCCAACGCAAATTAGTAATTCTTCTTGAAATTCAGCGATTATTTCATCATTGAATTGAATGGAAATATAAATTGAGGACAGCAATTCTTTTTGAGCAATCGGAATAAGAAAATAATGATTTTAATGAACGCAAACTGACTGACTGCTTAAAGGACAGCGTTAGATCAAAAAGTGGCGTTATAATGGGCGTATTTCTGCATGACACATCATAGAGCAATGATGTGAAAGGCATACAAAATGAATGATGAAAATGCAGATGAGTAAATTTATTGCCGTATGTAACACAATCTGTTTGATATCGATAAAATGATGTGCAACGATCGCTATGAGAACATCAACTTCAGTCATTCATAACTTCAGTCAATCATATATTGACGAGAAGGTCATCAGAAGAATTTACGATCAATAGATGACACCGTGCTGATCAGTACTAATCAGTTGTTAATGAACAACAGCTGATATTTTGGTCAGGTGCTTTTTACAATAGTTCAGAGCACTTTTAGCTCGTAGATTGCGAAGTTTTTTGGGCATCATAAAAGTTCGAAGAACATCAAAAGAGCGAGCGAAAAACGTTTTTATCACAAATTTTATTTGACTTTGTCTTATAGCAATGTGAAATCATTACGATGGTACGTACGCCTGGATGATAGCAATGAAAGTTTTTTGTGACGGCTTACGTTACAATAACACTCATTTTTAGTGGGCGAGACTCATAAAGGCGAAAGGCGAAAAAACTGTGATTGCATCTCGCTTTAAGTGCTAGTTGCGGCTTAACAAGTTACGATCGTTGATCGTGAACGGCACACTCAAAACTGATTATGAATGCACAACTGTGAGGAACCTTGAATGCGAAAACGTTACTATTCACATCGATCACCAAATGTTGAGGAATAAGACCGACTGTTCGCTGAATTGTGCATCAAATCGCTAAATTTGCATAAACCACGATAAGTTTCAAAAATTTGCACACAATTTTATTTACAAACAGTATTCAACAAGTGTACACGACAAGTAATAATATACACGTAAATACGCGACAAAGCTTCATGTTATCATTTGATTATCGTTAGTATTGTACCGTCTATTGAACGGTGTTCCATCCTGTAAGAGAGTCATCGATTTCGAATACACAACAAAAAGTACCGCATTAACCGGGAAGCCACGAACAATCAACGTAAGGCCACCTTTATAGAAAGTCTTGAAACCTTCGCGGCGATACAACTGCATCGCATACTTACATAAACTAAGAGAACATGAGGTGGTTGAGGGGATATGGCTGGTTTGTAGACGATTCTTGATCACCTCCAGTGGGCAGACACTAAACCAACACAAACTACCTGCCGTACCACCGGCAATTACCTAAAAA